TCTAGTCTTCAATACACAGTATCTGTTCTCAGCAAGCAGTTTTAGTTTATCAAAGTTTGAGATGTTGAATTTAAATCGCGAACGCCTTCTAACAGCAACAAATCATGCGTTGAATGAGATTTTTGAAAACGATTAATCTCAGCAACTTTTAACGAGCGATAAGGAGCGGAATTCAAACAATCCCAAATCTTATTAGTCATTGTTAATTATTCTATTGGATCACTTCTGCCCGAGGCGAGCAAGGCAAAAGAGGTCGTGCTTCCTCTTCCAAAGTTATAACAGTCAGTTTGACTTACAACTTAAATCCACCGACAGTGTTTATGATACCTGCAAAGAATTCAGATAACAAAAGATCATTCAGCCGTTTCTCTTCAATCGGTGATAATCTTTCTATCAAAGTTTTTTTGGGAAATGGATATAAGTTTGTATCTGGTGGATTCTACAAGCAATTTCTAGTATATAGTGTCTTTACCAAGCAGTTTTAGTCTTCTGCCAATAGTGTTTAGTCTTCTGCCAGCAATTTTTAGTATATTGGCAGCAATATCTAGTCTTGAATACACAATATCTGTCTTCAGCAAACAATTTTAGTTTTCTGCCAACCATTTTTTGCTTTCTGCAAGTAATTTTTAGTATATTATATAGCCTTCTACAAGCAGCATCTGTCTTCTGCAAATAGCTGTAATAGATAATATTAATAGTATGACTTAAAAATATTTTGTCCGTTATATCCGAGATTCGTTATATTCGTTTTACTGTTTTACTTTTCTTAGTTTTTCCATCTTTGAGCGAACCAACTCCGGGTTGGGTGGATAATTTTAACGGCCCCGTTGCATTTTGGATAGGGGTACAAAAAGGGATTATTAAAACATGTTTGGTGGATAACACAGTTTCCCCTGAAATTATTCCCGTGGATGTTGCTATAAACGCCGTAATATGCAGTGGATACGCAAGGGCAAAGAACCCTTCTCCCCCAACACCTATAATTAACGCAACTCATTGTGGTTTATACCCATTTAATTGGGCTGACGGCTATGTATCATCTTTGCATCATTACCACAAGTACCCATACAAGAATGTTCTTTGGTATCCTGAGGCATTTTTCACCACACGTTTTTACCAATTTTTGGCGATATCGATTTTGTTCCAAATTATCCCATCGTTGATCGTTGATTTTTTACTTATCATGTTCCTACAAAAGCCTTTGTAAGTTAAATAAATATTCTGATTAATCATTTAACTTAAACTTTTTTTAACTTAAGCTTGATTAGTACACAAAAGCGGATATTTCAATCGTGGTTAATATTTCAAGAATTTAATGTGAATAAATGGACATTTTCCAACAGCAATTTCCTTAAACTTGAAGAAACACTTGACGAAGCCGATAAAAAAGTATTCTACGGAATCATGTCTAAAAATATGGATATGCACCAGTATTTAGGTGATATTTATCATACAACAAAAAAGTACTTATTGAATGATACCTCGAAGAATTTCCCGCTTTATAAATTCCGCAATAAAATGTAAGTTTTTCTTCTTATTGATGATTTTTCCATTTTTGGATGTATTTCTAGATTATACATCTTGGATCGCTCACTCAAGTTATCATTTATTTATGTGGTGTTAAAATGGAGTTTTAATCATCTTCAAATGATGTTTTAAACAATTTACTTTAGATTATGATGATAATTGTTAATATTTTTGTTGTATTTGGAATTAGAATTTTTTTGACATTGACATCTTGTCATTTAATTTTTAATTCAGAGCTGCCAACTTAATTTAGTTTTAAACATTTAACCCCCCAAAAAATGACGTAATTTTGACTATAATAATAATAATCAAGTTATCATTTATTTATATGGTGTTAAAATGGAGTTTTAATCATCTTCAAATGATGTTTTAAACAATCAAGTTTAGATTATGATGATAATTGTTAATATTTTTGTAGTATTTGGAATTAGAATTTTTTTGACATTGACATCTTGTCATTTAAATTTTAATTCAGAGCTACCAACTTAATTTAGTTTTAAACATTTAACCCTCCAAAAAATGACGTAATTTTGACTATAATAATAATAATAATATAGAACGGAAGGAAACGATTGAGGTTCAATACCGTTTATAAAAGTAAATGCATTAATCAAGTTTGCAAACATGAGTAAACGATCATTGTGTGACGACACCGAATTGATAAATGAATCCGCCTCCGAAATCCAGCAGGGGCGGCGTTTGAATGTATGTTTTGTGGTGGTTTTGTGACGCGTTTTACCGTTCTCGATTCGGTAAATTACCGGTAGGTGAGGTGGCAGAAATTTTTTTGTTCCCACCGAAGTATAAAAGCTTCGAATTGAGACGAGTTATGAGACAGTTTTCGAAAAGTTCCCACCTCGTTATAATCGACGAGAGGTTATGGATAAAAATTTAAAAAGCGAAGAAGAACCTTTAGATTTATCGCTAAAAAACTTTAATAAAAATTATTTAAATAACCCAAAAACAACCAAGTTATTTTGTGGGTTTTGTTCAAAAACTTTTGACAGACCATCGTTGTTAAAACGTCATTTGCGCACCCACACCGGCGAAAAACCCCACATTTGCGAAGTTTGCAACAAAGGTTTTTCGACGTCGAGTTCGTTAAACACGCATAAAAGAATCCACACCGGTTTAAAACCGCACGTATGCCAATTTTGTGGGAAGAAATTCACCGCAAGTTCGAACTTGTATTATCATAAAATGACACATTCAAAAGTAAGTTAAAAAACGTTAAAATTTGATTTAAAAAAATTTTTTTAGGTTAAACCTCATAAATGTGACGTTTGCCCCAAATCATTTCCAACACCCGGCGATTTAAAATCGCACAAATACACGCATAACGGGCGGTGGCCCTTTAAATGTTTCGTTTGCTTGAGGGGGTTTAGTAAGTTAAATAATTTAAATAATCATGTTTCGGTTCATTCTGCCGAAAGAAAAATGTTTTCCGAAATTATTAACTAAATAGCGTCATCTATGAGGATTTTAAATTAATAAAGTTTCTTAATTTAATATACAGGTGTCCCATTATTTATGGAATATCGTATATATCTTGGTAGGTATCAACTTTATAAAAAAAACATTTTATAATCTCTTTGTAATCTCTGTCAAATGAGCCTAACGAAAGGGCACATCGCCATTTAAAAAAATTCAAGTGTTATTCGTTACTCATTTGTTTTCTGAATTAAAAACAATAAAATATTAAACAACTTTTATGTAAAATGTTTTTTTATAAAGCCAACATTTACCGAGATATACATATACTATATTCCATACATAATGAGCACCCTGTATATTATTCTAGTGCGCTATTATTCACTACATCAACTTATTAACCCGTTAAACTAGAACTAACACTAGAAATATTCAAGGTTAATGTTTTTTATTCTTTTTTGCTTTTTTGAGATAAATGCATCATATTGGGACACATTTTAAAGGTTTTTTAATAAAGAATACATCATGAAAGAACACTGTAAAGTTTGTCTATTATATGATAACTAACTTCAAGTGTAAAATGTCAACCTCAATTTGGCATATTTGTAATCTTCATTAAAAATCCTTTAAAATGAGTACAAACACGACATATTTATCTTCAATATTAGTGAAGTTATGATCAACTTCCGGTTGGAAATGTCAACCTCAATTTTGACATATTTGTAATCGTCGTGAAAAATCCTTTAAAATGAGCCCAAACATGATACGTTTAATTCCAATATTACTCGAGATATAAGCAACTTCCGGTTTGAAATGTCAATGTCATTTTGACATATTCTCAATTTTTATAAAATGTCTTAAAATTTAACATAAAAACAAGAATATAATAAAAAAAATTAGAAAATAAGGTTGGTATTAATATTTAAAAATTAAATTGCTACAAATTAAATTCCTATTTTCATTGTTGCTAACTTCGGGTTTAATGATTTTTTCTAACTTTTTTGTTTTTTGAGATAAGTGCGTCATGTTTGTACTCATTTTAAAGGTTATTTTACAAAGATTAGAAATATAATTATAAAATTAAAGTTGAC